CATGATACTCAGTTGTTACCCTGCCTCAGATTAGGAGCAGAAAACAAGGAGAGATTATAGTTATACATGGATCTCAGTCCTTTCTAATGTTTTTTGTAAAATTAAGAAAAACCTAGTCATTTAAGCAAAAGCTATCAACATTTTAGTCCTGGTGTTTGTGAGTCACGGCTGACTGAAAGGCAGCTAGCAGTACTTAAAATTATGGGATGACTGATTTCTACTCAAGTGGTACTTGCTCGTAAGAGTTAAGGAAAATCTACAGACACTTCTAGTTGCTTCTATATAGCTAATTCACAATCAGATCCATTTCTGTCATAGGGTTTTGTGGTTTTTTTTTTATTCCCCATGTACCAGTTTCTATTCTACAAAGGTGAAAATTACTACATAAAAATCTAATTACCAGCTTCATAATTTTAATAGATTGCACTTTAGAGTTGGTACATAGTAGTTGAGGCCTTTCCAATGAGATCCTTGTTTACTTCATTTTATAGTTATGAGCTTCTGGTGCAGCATTTCTTAAATGAATTAGTTCAGCAGAATTCTAGGTTGAAATCTATTAAAACATGAAAACACTTGATACTACTCTGGTTCTTGATCTTTCATGAAATCGTTTTCCTTGTATTTGGCTTTTGATGAAGTTTTGTGGATTGTTTTGGTTGGCTCTATTTCATCCACTGTTACAGGTACTCTGGATCTTATTCTGAAAACTTGCCCTTTCATGGGTTTTCATTTTTCCTGACCATTCTAATCTTGGACATTTCCCCCCTATTTTTCCTTCCCAGTCTCGGTTCTCTGGAGTATTAAGACAAATTTCATCTTTCAACCTTTTACAAATATTTTTATTTCAGTTTTTAGTTTTCATACTTGATATGTTTCACAACTTTATCAGTTCCTGTAATGTTTGACGTTTTAAGTGATTTGAAATTTCAAATGTATATGACTAGAAGGGGCTTGGCTTGTCAACTGTGAGGTTCATTGTTAGCCAGTGTTGTGTGTCACTTTGTTGAAGAACCTCTTGATCTCTTTATTTCTCTTGGGCTGGCCAAGATCCCAGAGAAATCTAAAAAGTAAAAAGAGCTGGTTGTCAATATGAAGAGATACCATTTGAGGAAGAAGTACTACATCTATTTGGAGAGCTCTGGTGGCTTAATAGTAAGAAGTTGTATTGCCATCCCAGAGACATGTGGTTTGAACCCATCCATCAGCTGCTCTGCAGGACAAAGATGCCTAGTTTCCCGTGTGATTAATTGCCTCTGAAAAACCACAGGAGGATCTGCTGTGAGTTCCTACTCAGACTGGTACATAGCAAGAACAACATGCCTGTTTAATCCAGAGACATTCAACTTCTTAGAGCTAACTCTTCTGTCTGTAAGTTAGCGTACAACACTGTACACTGGGTATCATTGTCAAAATGGTTTTCAACCATATTTTGTAGTCTTAAACCCTACTTACCTCTTGGTTTTACAGGTCTCCAGACTAGATCTTTGGAAAGGACATCAATGTAATACTCTGTTGCTAGCAAAAGATTAAGTTCTTTTAAAGTCTTCGTATTTGTTGATTGATTTTGGCGCTGTCTTCTCTGTAAGGCTTTTATGTTCTTTTTAAAAAATAATTACTGTGTTTTCTAATAGATACCGGAGTGATAACTAGTGTTGTCTGTATGAGTGGCGATGATAAGAGGGTTAGAGGAACAGAAGAAGTAGGGCAGGTAAATGAAAATAGAACTCTGTATCCTTAAGGATTTAGCCAACAGATTTCGCATATGTGCTAGTTTATTACACAATCAGCCTTTATAGTTTAGCTCTCAGGATGCTGTTTTATGAAGTTAGGACTATTGATCATGAGATTTTGACTTTCTCCTTATTTTCAAGGGCTGGTAATTGTGAGCTTTGTGAACATGATTAAATTTACTTCACTGGGATGATAATTATTTTTTAGTTGTGCACAAATAATGATGCATGTCAAACATCTGTCCAGGTGCCAGTTGATGCTCAGATAATTTCAAAAGCTGTTCTCTCCAATTTGAGCCTCCTGGTATCAGCCCTTGGTGTTGTATACTTCAGAAACTCATTTAGTCTGTTATCTTTCTATTTTGCTGCTTGAAATGTTTTATTTGAAGTCATTATGACTACCATGTACTCTAAAAGTACTTAAGAATTAATTAAGAGCAGCCTGCTTTTGACCTTGAAAGATTGGAAATCCAGAAGGATTAAACTCAATGTCCAATAATACGTTTTGATCCTGAAATGTGTAATGGGGTAATTTTGTTTGGGGTCAGTTTAACCTGGAATGTCAATATCTAGATCTTTTTATATAAAGAACAGACAAATCTTAATAAAATTTTTCAGGATCATTTACATAAGTACACTTAATCAGTGCACTTAGACATTTAAGAATGACCCCAAATTGCATTGAGTAATTTTTTTCATCTGCTTTTGACAAAGATGAGAAGGGTGCTGTTTTTAATCACTACTAAAAGCCACATTCTCTGCTGTCTGGTTGATTCTGACTTAGTGATCCTCCATAAAGTTTCTGAGGATATGAACTTTAATGGGAGCAGACATGAAGCAATTGGTGAATTCCATCCACTGGGATTTTGGTTAGCAGCCAAACTTGTAAACCAGTATACCATCAGTATTATCACTGATAGTCAAATATCATTTAGTTGATTTATGACTCTTAACCTTAAGATTTTTGTGGGTAAGATGTTAACTGCCCATGTGTTAATTGGGATCAACAGCCTTTGGGAGAAGGGTTGGCATTTCAGAGACTTACCATCTATTTTAGTCACTCAAATGCTAGGTGCTCTTGCTGAGGAGTCTGGAGTGATGTTTGCACACCCAGGTGATCTTGGCTCCATTTAAGATAAAAGTGCTGTTTTTTAAGGCCCCCTTTTTTTTAAACTTTCATGAGTGAAACTTAAGGTTCATGGTTCATAAACCAGTCATGTGTGTATAATTCATGGACGTTAAGCCTAGATCAAAAGGAAAACATTGTGAAGCTGAGAGCAATGAGTGTACGAAATGGGATGGGTAGCTGTGGCAGCAGTTGCAGGCTGGGAGCAGAGTGTCAGGGTTTTTTTACATTTTCATACAAAAATCCCTTTTGCCTGCATCCTGCTCCACTCTCCCTTTGAATGTCACTGATTTCAAGTCATCCCGTGCACCATAAATTGGTAATCAGCAACGTTGACATTAACTTGGAACTTTTCTTGAAGAGTTGCTAGAAAGGTCTTCAGCATTTTGAAAGAATGTAATTCCAGCTCCCTCCTATTGTAAATGGCTGTTTACTGACTTGGGGTACATACTGTGGGAGCCAGGCTGATTTAGGAAGGCAGAGTAGTAAGCTAAATGTTTTTCTCTGTAAAGGCCCAGAATCTTGGAGAGGAGATTTTTCGAGAGCACTGAAAAGGGAAGAAAATGAAACTTCATAGCAGTGAAATACTAAGAGCAAGGTGTTCTTGTTAACAGCAGTCTGAGGCAGTACTAGGAAGTAAGAGTAACAGAAAATCCCTTAATATGTAAGAATGACATTGAGTATGTCATGAAAGCTATGCTTAAGCACTTGAGCAAGTCTGCCTATTTTGATAAATGGATGGACATGAATTATGTGGGCTTAAGAGGAATCCTTTTAAAATAGGAAGAAGGCTTTTTGAGTATTACAGTGTAGTAGATACTGGTTAAGGCTGGAAAGGAAACTTAGAAATGCTTATAAATTTTTAAGTTGCTTCTACAATCATTGATAAAGCATGTTTTGTGTGTTAAGACCTATGAGCATGTCTGTTGATGACTT